CATGGTTACACCCAGTCTTTCCAACTGTATGCCATCTTTATTTCCTCTGTGATTGCCTCAGGTGATCCAGACAAGAGTCACAGTGCTGAATAAAGGAAGGGCAAAAGAGCTTTTCATTCAGACAAGAGTGCCAATACTTGAGTCAAAGGCTTTTAGGTGAATCTGATCTTAACAGAGCCAATAAGTGGCAATATGCTTGGGTGCCTTATGTACTTACTTGAACAGCTTTCAAGCAGTGACAAAATATACCTTGGAGGGAAAGTATGCTTTCTTTTTAAGCAGGGCATGGCAGCTTTGCACAGGAATAAACTGTTGGACATAAAAGCCAGGAAGACCTGAGTCTTAATACCACCTCAGACACTAGTTATATGACAGGTCACTTAACCTCTTTGAGTCTCAGTTTTCTCATCTGCAAAATAGGGGTAAAAATATAATCTACCACACAGGGTCACTGTGTCAAATGAGATGTCATATGTACAATATTTTGAAAACCTTAAAAGGGTATATAATAGTAGCTATAAAGAAACATGCCCTTTCTTAGGAAAACATCATTAGAATTATCAATAAAGGAAGTGTGGTCCACCCAAACTGACACAATGGATGGATAGATTCTTCTCTTTTGTAAAGTTTTCATCCAACCTAAACCAAACAGCTTCAATCCTGACAAGTAATCCAAATTACTATCTACAATACATATAACAGATAAATAGATCATCATTAATATCAAGAAAAGGCTTTTCAACTAAGTGACCATATATATGTGGTCCTTTCCTAAATATTTTGCATAATTATTCATACAGGCAAGGTCCTGGAAGTAAAGATGTTTACAACATTAAACTAAAGTGGTTCAAAGAGCCTAACATTTTTCTTTTGAATTTTTTGAAAGGGAGGAATGGGGGGAGGGAGTGATTGTCTTCTGGCCACAAACTTTTAAACCAAGGATGTCTCTATCAGGAGCCGACCTTTGCTTACCCAAGACAAGGGTAAAAGGGAATAACCACTGAAAGTCTGCTTTCAAAGTTAGTTCTTCAATGGTTTGAGAGAAGGGAGGGAAAGGAGAATGGTAGTAAAACTAGCTCATCTGTCCACTAAAATCAGCTGATATCCTATCCCTGGTGCAGATGCTTCAGGTTGCTAATCTCTGAACTATGCCTTTGCGGCCAATCCTCAACCTACTCTGAATTGTTTCCACTTTCCACCTTCTTTGCCCACATTATAAATTGCTGAAGCCATGCCACTATGCCAACTCAGTTCACTACAAATTCATATTAGCTAGGCTCAAATGGGCTCCTCCTACTGCACAGCAATACCTTTAGTCCTTGATTGACTCTATTCAATTCCCTTTGATGGCTATCAAAGTTGCATCTTTTTCCCTCAAGACCTTAATGCCCCTTCCATTTGCTTTTCTCTTAGCAGAAGTCCTCACTTCCTACTCACTGGGGATAAAAAACAGAGGCTGTATCTTCTTACGTCTTCTTTGCAAGATCATCATCTCTCTCTTACCTCCTTAGTGTGGATGTTCTCTCAGTCTCTACATTGAGCTTTCATCTCTTTTCTCTCTACCTGTACTTTCGTGGAAACCTCATGAGATTCCAAAAGTTCACACATACCTATAAAGATGCTCCCAAATCTACATATCTAACCCAATCTCCCTGCTGAACTATATTATCAACTGCCTGATGGATTCCTCCTCTTAGATGTTCAGCAGGCATGTCAAATTCAAAATGGTCAAAATGGGGTTCATTTTAGTCCCTCCTACACTTGTCACTCAACAAATATCCTTATTTCTGTTGCATCAATCACTATTTTCCCAGTCACTGTAGTTCATAACTTTCAAGTCATCTGTGCCTTTTCCCTATTTCCTGTTATCTAATCAGTTGCTAAGTCTGGTTGAATCTATTTTCACAATATATCTAACTTTTTTTTTCTCCATCCACACATCACTTCTTGCCTTGGCTACTGTAACAACCTCTCAATGATCCTCGTGATTTCAAGTTTCCCTCTTCTCAATCGATCCTTAAATACCTACAAACTGATATTTCTAAAACACAGATCTCACAAACACTTCCACTTGTTCCCCACTGCCTATAGGAAAACATAAAAACTCTTCAGCCTCATATCCAAGGGCCTCCACAATCTGGTCTCTACCTTTCTTTTTCCTCTTATTTCATAATATTCGCCTTTTCAAAAGAAATTTAACTACTAGCAACCATTCTTCTAACTCAATACTCTATTTCCCTCCCCTCCATTCATTAGCACCATTTCCCATGATCTGAATGAATCTCAGTTCTCATCTCCATTTCTTAGAATTGTCATTTTCCTTCAAAAGGCTCTGCTCAGGTGCCACCTCCTCCATCAAAGCATTTAATGATCTCCTCCCTGCCTCTGTTCTTCCTCCTAAATTTGCCTTTTCTCCATTTTTTTTATATGTGTTATGATTCCTCTCCCCAAATAGAATTTAATCTGTTTCATGCAGCAAAAGTTTCATTTTGGCAAAAGTAAGGCCAAAGAAGAATGACAGAAGTACATATTTTAGGATCAGAAGAAGAAGGTTGGATGTTCAAGTAAAATCGTCAACTTTGCTCTGACCAATTTGGAAAATCTTCATAAAGAACAGAAAGGAAACATCTTGACAAGAGAAAGAGGACTATGATTCCAGATTTCATCACTTTGGAGAAGGCCGAACTCTATGAGTGGAATCACTGGACAAAAAGAATTTGACCAAATCACCTGTAAACAAGTAGGTGTGACAAGCAAAGGAAGTATAAGACAAGAAATGGCATGGTTTAAAGTATCCCAGTTAAGGTTTTGAAGTACAGGTTTAGGAAGATTTCGATCCTGATTCCTTTATGGTATTATTAGGAAAGTAGTAGGGGTATGATGTGACAAAAGTGACAGTCTGAAAACAAACTAAATATTATGGCTAAATCCCCATTCAACTTCTCGTTTCTTATACATCACTCACTAACATACATACCAGTCACAAGCTAGATGAAACCTTCTGTTTGTCACCTGATGCTTGTGAATCTGCATGTATTGTGTTAAAAATATTTTAGAATGATGCTGTAACACAAAACTATTATTACAAGGGTGACATTTAACAGAATAAAGTGTCAACTAGAAGTGGGAGCAGGGATTTTTCCTTAAGGATTTAGGCAGTCTGCATATATGCCTGTATAAGTTTTGCTTTTTTTTTTTTAAATACAGGATACTGAAACTATGGAGGATGTGAAGGATAATTGGGGGACAGAGGTGAGGAAAAGAGTTAAATGGATGAAGATCTAAATTCGACTTCATTAGATTACTACCAGAAACAAAAGAATTTATAAGAATATTAAAGAAATTATGCTGGAAGTTTTGCCACCAAAATTACTGCAAATGATACCCAAAAGCAAATGATAGAAGGAAAGGGACAATCAAGAGCTCTGTCTCTGAAAGCAACATATTTATAACCAATCTATTCCAAGGACATTTGAAAACTCTACGTAACTGGGGAAGTATACACTTCATCACAGTTACAATTCTGCTCAATTACAATTAGTAACATTGCTTCCAGAGAAGGGAAGTGCCCTTTACTGAATAAATTTTAGTTTTTATGTGACTAATTTTAAGCCAGGACATAGATCATAAATTCTTCTCTTAAGACTCTTTTGTGCTTGGCCAGAATGAGCTGGCACTGTTTTTTTTTTTTTTAAACATTATTTCACATGCAGTGTTCCTTGGTGTATGTCTAGACTGAGGCACTTTGGCTTCACATCTAAAAAGAAAATAATTGAGCAAAGTAAGTAAAGTACTAAAAATGAGGTTCCATCAAAAGCATTACTCAGGCAGATGCAAAAGTATTAGCCGAGGTTTCAGAGAGGAAATCACATTTCGCAGAAACTAAAGTGAATAAGGCTCTGGGAATGAGTACAACTGGCAAGACACAGGCTGATCTCAGCAGAGGTTTGGTAAGTAAAAAAAAATAATTTGGCTAAGTATGGGAAAATAAATTATATTACTGTACCCTGCATCACAACCATTCTCCTATCCACATATAATTCTATCCCTCCTCTCTAATGAATTGGATGTTTCACTAACTCTTGACTCTCCATGCTTAGGCCTTTATTTCAAGTCTCCCTTCATCTTTGTTTTCTTCAATAAATAAGCAAACAAACATCCAAAGCAGGGCAATTACACTGAGCAACAAATTGAACTAAAAGTCTTACTACCTTCCTGTCCAGATAATTCAATCAATGTCTATGTTAAGGTATCAAAGTAGCTTCTGGATTTTGTGAAGTCACTTGGATGGTTTCCAAGGTCTTCCTGCTGTTTTGCCAAGAAACTGTTTAACTTTCAAACACAGTTCTTTTGGCAGAGCAGCATTCCCAGGCTGCCATCTTACCGATTAGTGGAGTCCTTACTAATTTTAGATTCATGGATGCCTCCCTGAACAATTAGCCATCCTGAAGCTCATCCCTACCCAAACTCTGAAACACCAAGCACAACACACACAGAGCAAACAAACAAAGCTATTGATGAGTCTGAAGCTTGACCTGAAAGCCTACCAAACTAAGCAGAAAGGCTGTTTTTACTAACACCCCTCCAAATAGGAAAGCCTGAAGACAGTCTGAAAAAGAGAATATCCTTTTTTTTTTCACCTAGCAGAGAACTGCTTTAGGAAAAAAATAAAGTTGGGGGAGGGGGAAGAAACACACTTTAAATACTACATCATGTTGAAAATGGAAATCTTCCTATTGGGGTAGGAAACTCGAAGTAAATGAATAGCCTATATGGAAAAATTGACTTTAAATCAATTAAAAAAAAGTAGTTCACCATTATTTCTGATCAGATAGCTCATCCTAATCACACCTCTACACATGGCCTTGGAAATCCATCACCTCTACTGAGTATCTTAGATATTCCACAGAAAGAAGGTAAAAAGGAAGGGAAATAAATTATAGAGGGATCATTTGCTATGAGCAAATGCTCAAATGCTTTGAGCATAACATATGCCTTACCTTCAATAGAACCACATCCACTGTCCTGTCCACCTTGGAGATGTCACATAAGCTGTAGCGCCTCTTATGTCGTTCATACATTTTTTCCAAATGGAGGAAAGACAAGGCAAAATGCAAGCAATATACTCCACCATTAATTCCAGGAGTACAGGCACCACCTCTATGGGGGTAAGCTTCAGATTTCTCACAAAAATGATGGGGGGAATATTTGCCCCCAAAAAAACTCCAGCTCAGCAGGAAAAAGAATAAATCAAAACTCCAAGCCCCAAAACAAACAAAAAATAAAAAAGCCTTCCTTACACAACAAACAAAATAAATAGAGAAAAAAAAATCAAACAGCACTAGCTGGCTGTTAACTTTCTACCTGAAACAAATAACAAGGTAGGTCTGTTTTTACTTCTTAGTAAACATATAAACACCTTGTAAGGATACAAGTTGAGAAAAATCTTGCTTGAGAAAAAAGTGCCCACAGTTTCCATTACAAGTAATCAATCTACTTAAAAAATAAAAGCTAAAAAAGCGACACATAATGTCTAACACTAAAAAAGGAAGAGAGAAAAAGCCCAATGCAAGCAATAAAAATGTAACACAGCTGCCAATAATGTTTAAAAAAATCCTAAAATGTCCAATACAAAATGAAAAAAAAAGTTTTGAAATGATTTTTTTCATTAAATCCAGTTGTGGTCTTTTAAAACGAAGATCATTCACTTTTGAACTAAAATAAGAAAGAAACCAGGAGACTCTTCTTCTAGTAATGCTTTTCAAGTCTGTCTCTTGCTTGCTCACCAGGCTGTAGGGATTGGTTTTGATTTAAGTTTAAAATTTCTAATGACAGCACAGTCTAAAAGGAAAAAGAAAAAAAGAAGACCACTCCTTCTCCTCTTGCTCTCCTCCCACTCCCTTCTCCAGAGGACGTCACTACTTGCCCTTTTCAGCTCTGCACTGGCAATGTTGGAGGTTTGAGAACTTAATTGCAGTTGTGGGAACATGATTCATCTTTAGACAGAGAAGAAAAACAAGGTTTCCTTCTCCAAGCGGCTTCCTCCTCCTCAGGCAATATCCTTTGCATACAGCTCTGTCTGAAGTCAGAAGATGGGATGTGCCTGCTTTGACTCTTTTGAAATAGGATGATGAGGGGGATCCGTATTTCATATACTTATAAGCTATTATGCAGCACTCGTCCAACACACTAAGCAAAGAAAAATATAACTGCAAGTAGTGCAAGAGTCACCCACTCCAGGAATGAAAATGTATGATTTAATATGAGAAAAATGTCAGCCAGGTGTTTCGGTGCGGGGGGTCTACTAAATGCATAACATGACATACTGCTACCTGATTAAGTTTTCAAAGCAACACGGATAGGTTTTGTGAGGAACAAAATGTCTTTAAAGAACAGAAACTGAGAAGCAGTGAAGTTGGGATGTATATACTGATTGTGTATGATGAATAAGAGGGGTCTTGCAGCTGGACAAGCCTTTCACTCCAATCAATGCTTTCATTCACATGAGCTCAGCCCTGATGCTCTCTGCCACATGGTTTTCCTGTTTCCACACTGTTCCAGACTCCACTAGCCCCCACCCAATCCAACCTTCTTAGGGATAAAATGATTCCAGAATCCCCTTCGCTCACAACTTAAAATGGATCTGGGAATGGAATCAGAGTGTGGGGGAGGATGATTGAGGAGAACAAAGCTCAGAAAAAAGGGGAAAAAACAACTTTTTTTTTTCCCTTTTAGTTAGAAGGGCTGCAAGTGTCTTTTCTCTGTGACCAAGACATAACATAAATTCAAGATTTCAGAAATAAGGCTGATTTTAGACTTACAAAAGAAAACAAGAAACAATTCTCATGTCTAAATTTCTGATGCTGAAAACATATGACTGTCTTTATCTTCATTCTCTACTATCAAAATAAACAGTCACCACCCAAAGCCCAATTAAATAGACGGCTTCTCAAAATGACAGAAATATGGGTGGCAGCAGGTAGAAGCTGTGAGAAAATGAAATGGAAATGAAAATTAGATTTTTATAACCAAATAGTGGGAACAGGGACAGTAAGTTTAGGAAGAGGCCAGGACAAAGCAATGTGGTATGGTGGATAGAGAACTGGACTTGGAGTCAGATGAGCTGGGTTCAAATTCCACCTCTGCCACTCACTACCTGTGTGAGCTTGGGCAAGCCACTTTCCATATTGGAACCGCAGTTTCCTCATCTGTAAAATGAGGGGGTTGGATAAGTTTAAAGTCCCTTCCACTCCTAACTTTAAGATCTGTCACTTGGACCTCAGTACATAGGGAAGGGATTTTGGGGGGGGGGGGGCGGGGGGAAGCAGGGAGGTCTATCAGTAGATAAAGTTTCCCTTAAAGAGAATTTGAAGAAATCATTGTCTTGAATAGAATTATAATTAGACTATTATTTCAAGCTCTCCCATTCCCCTTGTACAAATCATGCAAAGCTGACTCCACCCTCTTCTTTAATGCCCCTCCCCTTGTCTTTAATTAGAATCAAATGTTTCTGTCTTTCTATGTTACCAGGCATGTGTCCTGGGATCAGGAGATGCTATAATCACCAAAAATTTCTTCCCACTCCCAATTCTCTGACCACTGACTTTGCTGCCCAAAATTTAACCAAAGGTGTAATTCAATTCAACAAGTACTTATTCAACATTTACTGCACTGCACTACAGATCATAGGGATACATAATTTTTAAAAATCATATGATCCCTGCCCTCAAGAAACTCACATATTAATTGGGAGTTAGCAGTTTTGAGTATTTTTTTAAAGTAGGCAGTTAAAATGCTCAAAAACTGTCAGCTTGACATACCTGATGGTCTACGAGCTGTACTATAGGCTAAGAAATCTGCTTTTCTATATTCTTTAAATACGCATGTGTGCATGACATGGAGGATCAGGGAAGGGAGGATCATGCTGTATACACTGTCCTCCTTGGTTATAATATACCTACAGCTCACATTTATGTGTTTTATATATCTTCATTTATGTAAAGTACTTTGTGTATATTCATTCTTATGAGTACCACAACATCCATATAATGTAAGTAATACAAATACTATTTCTATTTTAGAGATGAAGAGTCTCAGAGAAGTTAAGTGATTTGCTAAAGATCACCTAGCTATAGTTAAGTGGCAGAGCCACGCAGCATGCTACTAGCTAAGGAATCAGAGATGCCAGCCATGATTCAAACACAGGCAGATTATATAGGTCCAGATCTCTTTTGATTGTATCCCACTGCCAAGCTAGTAGGAAAGTCTGATTTGATTTCTTCTCTGTATATGATCCCAGAGGATAGAATTTAGCAGTTCTATCCATTTGCTGCTGATGTGACAATTCCAGAACTTTACTGAAAACATCTGGAACTGCTAAGTAGTTATTTGGTTAAGATTTTGAAAATCCCAACCAATCATTTCACATCTAAAACCAAAGTAAGAGTAAGAGATTTCAGAGTTTTTTTGGAGGGGGTGGGAGGGGGAGACTGTCCTCATTTAATCTTAATTATCCAGACTCTACACTACATTTATTTTATACAATCTCTCTCTCCCTCCTCCCATCCCTTTCTACTCATCTCCATTCCTGGGTATGATTACTGGCTGGAAATAGTTAACCTTGTTCTCAGTTTCAACTGGCATCACCAAATATAGTTAAAGAATGATGGAAAATTAGTTGTGAAAATGCTTAAGCACATCTGGTTTGCTACAGATTAAGATACAGAAAATACAGTACCAGCTTCAAGTGGCTTGGGTAAAACCTTACAAAAACAAATTTTCATCTAATTGCTCATTTAAAAGATACAATGCCTTGTTTAACTTGTTTTGAATCTCATCTAGGTCACCTCTGATGGGCCTAGCCCATTTGGGCTCATACATGAAATCTGTATCCAAGGTACCTTGGTCACAATCACAGAACCTGAAATAGGTCGCCACCTAGTGTTTATGCCAAAGAGTGAAATGGAAACCCACAAGAAGTAAGTGTCTAGAGACAATCCACTGCTGTTGCATTTTATTCCTGGGTTGCAAAAAGTAAATACAAAAACAGAGAGCATGTGATGAAAGCTGCTTGGAGGGCTTACAAAATAAAAATAATCACTTTATTCTTTAACTGCTGAAAGTGAACTTATAGAATATAGAGTAGAACAAAAGCAGGGGGTTGGGAAATGAGACCTCTATTCTAACAGCAGGTCCACTGTTAGATGTGACCTTGGACAAGTCTACTTAACTCCTCTGGGTCTGAGAGTACTCCTCCGCAAAAAGAGGGGGCTGGTCTGAATGATTTCTAAGCCCTTTCATTTAGAATATTTTAGAACTCCATGACAATCTTATCTTACCAAAAAAAAAAAGTTTCAAGGGGAAGGAGACCTTCAATCTTAGAACCTCCTATACACAAATAAAGGTGGGGGAAAGATTAAGACATGTCTTGAAAACTCCAACTCTGAGAAATGTTCAGTATTTTCATATGCAACTATCTCTATCTACCCAAGAACATAATCACTACAAAGTTCCTTTGAAAATGGAAGGGATAGGGATTTATGTAGTCTATCATCCCCCCCTCAGTAACCTTTATTAATAGAAAAACAGTGATTCTCAATCCTGTCAAGTAAGTACCTGTAGATATTTTTATCTTCACTTTATAAATGAGGAAACTGGGGCTCAGGATGGGTAAATTACTTGCCCATGATCACACTATTAAGTGCTGGAAAGAGGATCCAAACTCAGTTCTTTCTGACTTAGATTCTAGCAATGAGTTTGTGATTCAATGCACCAAGCTATGAGAGAAAAATCTGATAAACGTTTTTATTTTGTTTTCTTTTGCTTTTTAGGAGAGGCAATTGAGGTTAAAGGACGTGCCCAGGGTCACAAACCTATTAAGTATCTGAGGCGAGATTTGAGTTCAGGTCCTCCTGATTCCAGGGCTGACTCTATCTACTGCTCCACCTAGCTGTCCCAGCATCTGATAGACTTGATGAAAATTTATTCTGATTCACAGAATTACAGAGGTTGGTGGATGGTGAGTTCCCTTTCCATTGGAAGATTTTCAATTAGTAGGACTGACAACTTGTCAGGGATGTTATAGAGTGAACTCTTGTTTGAGTTTGGGTTGGACTCTAAGGTCTTTTCCAAATCTGAGTTTCTATGATTCTATGACTCATCTATAGTTATATAACTTTTGGGAATAAAATAAACCAGATTCTGAAGTAGTAGTTCTTAGTGAGGTCTTTTTAAAATAAAAAAAGATTATAACCATTTCAATACAAATA